CCATAGAATTTCTGATGAAAGACCTACTTGTACAAAACATTATGAGTTTGATTATTGGGCAACTCGTCATCCTCACAAACTAATATCTTCAACCCCTTCTATTAGTTACACGCGAAACGACAACATATAATGCTCCCGTGTAGAATGATCATAAAATCACCAGATGTCGAGTACTTTCCTAGATTGCTGTCAACTTGGTAATTCTTGATACAAATGATCATGTCCTCCTCAAAATTCCTCTCTCGAAATGCAGCCAAGTTGATTGCCCGTAGTCATGCCGCAATGCAATTTCCCTAAACATGTACAAAAAAATAATCAATAAAAATTTATTTTTTTAAGAAATATAAATAATTTAAATATCTGAATACATACACGATAAAAAGAAAGAAGCCAAATTTTAAATTTAAAAAATAAAATTAAAAAAGTTGAAAATATACGTTTCATAGTTCGAAATTAAAAAAAAAAGTAAAAATAATTTGGCTTACAGTTTTATCATGAAGAACCAACTCGAGATAGGATTTGTATGTGTTACCCCAATCTTGAAAAAATATTCTTACGATTCGAGCCTTCAGCATAGGCCTATTAGACCTATTAACTTGTTTGATTAAGTCAAATCATTGATTCATTGTTTTGAATATAAGACTAATTGGGGATTTTTTTTTTGTTCGCAGGAGGTTGACAGGGACGAAGACGATGGCTCAATATTTTGAGATTTGTAATTTATATTCGATCGATAGATACAATAGCAGTTAATAGTTTTATGAAAAAATCTCATTATACGGAAATCGGATTACATCTAGAGAAACAAATCTGAACAGATTTCCATACAATTTGATACGATCGGTGATAAAAAGATAAGAAGGAATTTTGAATATATACAAACTTTAAAAATTAGATGTATTTATGAAAATCAATACACAACTAACCCTTTAATTTAGGCTTGATATCTGCTTTTTTTGTGTATGATGTAAAATAAAGATATAACTTTGACCAATCAAATATTTTATCACCGATCGAATATGCTTTTTTTTGGATTTTACGTACAATTTTTCGAGAAAATAGATTTTATGGGAAGTTTTTGATTAAATCGATGTAATAGGGGAAAACAAATAAATAAAATAAGTAAATAAAATACTAATCTAAAAATATGATGCATTAATTAATGTTGACTTTTCTTACTACTAATATAGTAAATAGGATGACTTATAATATAAGTATAGATATTATTATTATTCAGAAAAAAATTATAGTCTTATTATTTTTATTTTATGTAATGAAAAAGTATAAATGTACATTAATATTATATATTAATGTATTTATTTAAAATTATGGAAATAAATTTAAAATAAATTATTGTGTATAAATGTTTTACAAACTATCACACATCTTTTTATAATTTAATTTTCTTCTAATAATTAAATAACTTTGATTTAGTAGTTGTCAAAATATATATATATATATATATATATATATAATCAAGAGATTTTTCTAATTGTGTCATAAAACTTTATAGTTTATATAACATACTATGGAATGAAATATATTTTACAATAAATTCATAGTTAAAAGAAATACAAATTAAAAAATGAGACAAAAATTCATAGTAATATATTTTCTCATTAATAAAAACTATTTAATGTGTGTGGGCATCATGAAAAAGTATATTAATCCAAAGAATGAATTCAAAGAAATAGGAATAATAA